CTTTCAGGCGTGCTCGCGATGAAACAATTCAAAGTCGCGAGGCATCGCCATCAGCTTCACAGCAAACGGCGAAAAGGCCTCGAACAGAGGCCGCCAGCATTAGTGTTGACAGGTATTATTTTTTAGTATTTTATTGGGTTTTAGATGAGCTCAAACTGGATAAATTTGACTATTTTATAGCTTGAATAGATAATCGCTGTTGAGACGAAAGGGATATTTTCCTTTGTCAGTTACTATAGAGTGCGTATGCTTTACCGGACCATTACAATCTAATCACAAATATATTGCAGAAACTTCAAACTTCTTTATTCTTCATACAGAAATGATGCGTACAAAAAGCCAAGAAAACTGTTAAATTTGTAAAAATGATTACTTTCTTGAATTTTTTGTGTGTATCATCATCAGCTTTTGAATGGTATCGTCACTTAGGTATTTAAAGTCTTCTTATATTTACATTTTCTTAACTAGCTGCTAATGTATTTAAATGATTTATTCAGATACAAGCTGTTCCGATCGTATGTCCGCAAAGTGTTTGATGAGATTGGCACTACAGACGATATGGTGGATTTGGAAAAGATTACTGAAGGTAGGAGTCGGAAGTAGAGAGGTTATGAATGGTAAAGCATTGTAAATTCGAGCTTTAGGAGTGCAATCTCAAGCTGGCACCCATCCCTTCACCGAGGGGGAACTCGAGGCTGGATATGAGCGAATGGCCAGCGATAATGCTGTTATGATCGCTGATAACAAGATCACACTCATCTAACGATTTTTCTACTAAGGTGTAACAAATGTATCGGCATATCCCAGTAACATTTATTGATCTCAGATTAAGAAGTTTCGAGTTATTCATTTCTTTGTAGAATTTTTGAAATAATTTTCTTATGGCTTATTTTCTATATTTCTACTTGTTCTGCAGTAATTTGATAAAATTTCCAATCTTTCTATGAATATAAAGTTCAGATATTTGCGTGTATGCTTAGTGTTTATCGAAGTCATTTTTGAAGAACATTATAAAAAATAGGTATTATTTGAGTGGAATTCCAGTGAGTATCATCTGATTACATATCATGCTGCTTAAATATATGAGAGTTTTCGTTCTCATCCCATCTCTTGGTACCTTGTCATCTTCCCCGAGGAGGCAATACTTTGCAGTAGAAATTCCCACAAGCTTCTGCAGAATAAATTGCAGGGTAAATTTTCTATGTGCGAAACAAGTTTCACGCTATTTATTTAACATTTTCTGCGAACCTCGTCGCAAAATCTTCTTTCACGTGATTTCAGCATTTTTCTTGAATTCTCATCCTGCCTAGATGGGATTTTCTGTAATGTACTTCTGGAGAATTTGTATCCCATTTCTTTTTCTCCAGTTTTCTTCCTCTTTTTCCTTTCGTTCTCATTCTATGTCTCTTCATTCAAACACTGCCACGTATTGATCGCTGTCTCATTGGTGGGAGCTATGGTCAATTAGTAAAGCCGCTGGCTTTTCATTTTCTTAAATTAGGCATCAAATTGTGTAGATTTAAGCAAGCTATGTTAAACTGTCCCCACCCTATTTGATTCATTTCAAATTCAGAAAAAGTTGATGTATATTTATATCTAATAAGCGCAATTTTGTATTTCTGGGGGCATGCACTTTTAATCAAAAGTAAATAAGGTGAAACTCTTGTGAGACTAAAAAGGTTTTGTTTTTGACAGACATTGTCGTTAGTCTCATGTCGGCAGGAGATCTGGAAAACTTTGGATTTGAGCA